TGCACGCGATGGCAGCAAAGTAAAGACCAAACATAAACCGCGGGTTGAAACTAAAGCAACTTTTCCCGAAGCGCAGGACAGCTCTTTGCTTAAGACCATCCTCACCGGGTCTCCCCGGGTATTCAAGTCATCGCACAGGCCCTGCGCTGAACCAAGGGGCTCCCCGAAGCCCCCACCCCACCGGAGCCTTCCACGTCCTCGCCCCTGGCCACGCGCCCTTACGGGAGCGGAGGTCGCAGGGGGCAGCGCAGGAGCCCACGCCCTCCCCGGCGGCGCCCGCAGCTCCCCGCCGCCCCTCCGACAGGGGGAGCAAGTTCTGGAAAGAAGTGCGGGTTAGAGGCAGAAAGGAGAGCGGACCCACCTGCCGGAGTGCGCGGGCGGCGCTGGCTGTGCGGCTCCGGGGCCGCGCGGCCGTATTTGTACTCGCGGCCCCTCACATGGTCTGATCTGCAGATACCGCCGCCGCGCGCCTCTCCCAGGACCTCTGCGTCACGTTCGGGAGCGCGAACTTTATGCTTCCCGCGGCCTCCCGGGCTGGGGGCCGGGGGCGCCCCCGCCGCCTGCACGACCCTACTGGCGAGAGGGGAGGGACCCCCTCGGTGCCCCCGACTCGCTCACTAGGAGGAGCAGCGCCCTAAGCAGCAAAGGAGCCTTAGCGGTGGAGGCGGCGCGGGCAGGGCAGGGCAGGGCAGGTTAGGGCAGGGCGAAGACTCCCGACCTTCCTGCCCTTTAACCTTGCAGGGAGCCTGGAGGTGGGGCTGCTCCACAACCGAGGGGCAAATTTCGTCCCCTACCAGTGGCTCCCCAAACGGTAGTTAGGGCTCTGTTCGATGTCACTTCTCAGAGCCACCTCTCTTGACCACCGACACCTCCCCATCACCAATCCTGCCTTCTTTTTCTTCTTAGGATTTAAGGGCACTTGGCATCTCTTGAGTTTATCTGGCTTCACTGCGAGGATGTGAGCTCAGTCACAGGGATCTGGTCTGATTCCTCTCCATCCCCAGACTCTCCAACAGTGGCACACAATAAATACTCGCAGAGTGAGTGAATGAAGAATTCTTTCTCATTTGAACCAGACACAGTTCAAAGCAGTATCAAAACAGGGGGCGTGGGTGGTGATCTGCAAAAAGGTGTATGCCTGTCCCGATGGTCGAGGGGAGGACTCACTGCAATATTTGAGTGATCCGAAGGGGTTCAACAGGAGCCTATTGTTTGAAACCATGTGCATATGCTGTTTTTCATATTTTTTTAAGATTTAAGTTTTAAAATGAATTTAATGTCATTATATTATCTTTTTACTAAGATTATTTAAATTTTTTTAAAAGGACGGATGCTTTGGGCTGAACCTGAGGCAGAGATGAGGTCTTGGACTACCACATGGAGGCCAGGGACGGCAGCAAAATAGAAGACAGAAAGGAAGTAGCAATTATAAGTTTGCAGCTCCAGAAAAGCTGCAGCCCCTTCGTACTTGAAAGAACTGAATCCAGAAAGCTGAGCGGCTGCCCAGTGTGAGCCGCTTCCCAAGGTGAGGACTCAGTGTGAGCTTTTGGTGCCACCTAGACGTCAGGGGGGAGACTGCAAGGACAGCGGGAGTGCTTCCCAGGGCACTCCACGCTAGGCCCTACCTGCCTGGCTGTGAGAAGTCACCTTCCGCGGTGCCCTTTCCTCCCTGGGGAGACTTCCAACACCTCCTCTCTCTTCAGCGAGGACCACCCAGGCTGGTGTCCTCCCCTCCTGCTCCCTGGCTGACGGGCACCATCAGAAAAAGACATAACAATTACACAGACTGGACCTTTCCCTCATTTTCGCCTCCTCCCTGGCAGAGTCCGCACTACATTGATACAGACAGTGCATCCTCTCTCTAAACAAGAGTTTTCCCTCCCTCCTGCCCGGTGGGCACCATCCTACAGAGACGACTTAGCCCAAGCTGCCCCATCCTCGCCTCTGCAGATCCAGCCCCTCTCTCCACCCGAAAGCTAACCCTTCTCTGTCTTGCCTCCGATTCTCAGTGCCACAACTGCCCTGTCTTTCTCCAGCATCCTGACTCCCTCCCTCGGGAAGATCCTGGCGCCTTGTTCCCACTGCCTGTGGAGCTTCACTTGACTGCCCCTCCTCGCCTCCAAACCAGGGGGGACTGACTGCAGCATCTGCTACCCAGGAGGTGGCAGCCCACCTCTGTCACCACTGCTCCATGCTAGGCCCTGCGGAAGACACAACCTCTCCCTGAGGAGACCAGGGGAGTCCAAAAGAGGGGCCCTACTGAGCATGGAAGGCGGTAGGGAGCCCTGAGTGGGAGGAGCATGAGGAAAGCAGTGTTTCAGGGAAAGGATGTAATGGCTGTGACCAGCATGGCTGCAGGTACGGCGGAGGGCAGGTGGGAGGACGGGTGGTGCCGGTGCATGCAGGGAAAAGATGTGCTGGAAACCCAAAGGGGAACTCGTGAAGCTTGGTGCTGGCTTGGTATACGGGAAAGTGATGGAGATGTCAAAGGTGGCAGGACCCTGGGTGGCCGGGAGGAGGCGTGCGGGACGATCACGGTGCAGTGATACTTTCTCTTTGCTCCACTAGCTCTAGCGCAGAAATAGTGGGGCTTAGAGCCTGCTGTGAGGCTGCAGAATAAAGTCTTTTGCTTTGAGAGGTAAGGAGCACAGTTAAATGTTTACACCTTCCCGTCCCCCTCACACACACCACCAAGAAGACCCACTTCCTGAAAGTCTCAAAGCCCAGAAATGATTCATTCCACTGTAGAGCCAGGCCAGGGCAAAGCCACACAAATCTTAGCCTTTCCCTCTGGAAGCCCTCGACGCCGATGCCTCTGTCTGTCCTGCCTCTGCTCTGTTTATACAATGGAAGATGAAGGCCCACCCCTTCTTGTGGGCTTTTCCTCAGGCCCAGGAAAAGGCAGCCAGTATTCCCCGTCCTCAGAGTGTCTTCTTGCTCCATCCCTTCCAGTCACCCCTCCCACCCCGTTTTTCCTGGGACCAGCATGGTTTGCATGACTCTGCATTCATGTTCAGCCACGTGCCGAGCATAGCACCTCCATGGCAGGATTTGCTGCCACTGTGAACCCTGGGCTCGTCCCTACAGAGGTCTCCATAGGAGCCACCTGTGCAGACCCACCCTGATCCAGATGAAGGAAATTCAAAGAAGGCCCCCTTTAGGAGCACCAGGAGGGTGAAAGTGCTGGGGGTGTGGGAGAGGAATGGGAGGTCGGGTCAGGTTCAGTCCTAAGGAAGGCAGGAAACATTTGGAAGTAGATGGATTTTGTCTTTGGTCACTTTTTCCTGACCCCTTCTCCCCGATTCCTTACGAGCCTACTGCCTTTGCTAAACAAGCCCTCCTCCTAGCACCACATCACCCCCGTCTCCCACCTCCTCCCCATGCCCCCAGCCCCACCATCCTCTTCATTTTAACTCCTATTATTTCAATTTCTCTTAGTCAGTATTATGTTATCACACCAACCCACTCTAGGACAGCACCCAAACACTCCCAGGCGCATTTGTTGGGCAAACGCTAATGCTGCTAATAATAGCTGAGACATGTAGCGCTTTCCATGTGCCAGGCACTCTTATCTAAGTGCTTCACATAATTAACTCACTAAATCCTCCCAACAGCCCCGTCTTTTTCCACTATCCTGTCTATATACACAATAATAATTGTTTAAAATCATGAAATATGTGTCAGATCAATGTTGTAAGTTTCGGTTGCTGCCCACACTTAACTCAGTGTATATTCAGACTTCGAGGATAATTTTTTTTTAAAAGAGGGAAACAGGTGGGTGTAGCTGGTGAAGATAAGGAGAAATCGGGGTGTACATGGCTTACCCTAGACTTCACAGGTATTGTGACTACCCCATGCTCTACCTGTAATATCTTTGAACCAGGGTTTTTGATTTTTCCTTTCTTTTTATAGGATTCCTTCTCCTGACTGTAAACACCCATAGCTAGTGCCACGTTCTGGAGGGCAGCTGTTTTTACCTTCCACCTTGGCAGGGAAGTTGAGGCTAGGAGAAGCACAGAGTACCAGGAAGGGCCCCAAGAACCCTGTGTACCCCCAGATCTGTTATAGCACTTTGATCTCTCTCTGAGTGCCAAGGTCATCACTAGGCTCTGAGCTCCCAAGAGATGGGGCTCTGCCTCTCTCCATGTCTCAACACCGACCACTGTGTCTGCACACAGCAGGCTCCATACATACATGTATTGGCAATGAATGACGAGGAAAATGCCTATTACTCTTAGCAGGCTAATGACAGGTAAGTAAATCGTGGCATTTCCAACAACGGAGTAGCACGCACTGGTTAAAAAGAGTAAGGCAGTTTTATATGGGCTGATTTGGGGAGGTTCTCAAGATTTACTCTTAATTGGAGAAAAATATCAAAGCACAGAACAGGTGTTACTCCAATGTGTTGACAGCAAGAGAGGAGGGGGTGCTGGCGTGTCTGTAAGTGTTCGGAAGGAACTGGGAGCTCTAGGTGCCCTGGAGGAAAGGGATGTGAGGGGTGGAAGGAAACCCACTTTTCACTGTATACCTTTAAATATACCCTCTGTGCTACTTGAATATTTGCCATGTGCAGGTAATACTTTTATAAAACTTTTTCAGAAAAGCATTTTTTAAATTATAAAAGTAAAAAAGAAAGAAAGAAAGAAAGAAAGAAAAGCAGGAGAAAAAAAGAGGGTAAAGAGAAAAAGCTGAAAAGGGGCTCTGAGCTTCTCACAAAGCAGGGAAGAACCCTGGAGAGCTCTGAGGGGCTCAGCTCCACTTCACGCCATACAGACATCTTTTCTTCCCAAATGGAGCCCAATTACTCAGCACCATCATCATTTCTTTAGTTCACTTAAGAAGGAGCCAAGAAGTGCAGTCCAGTGCTTTGCTTGGGATCAGATCGAGACAGAATGACGTTTAGAACTCGAGCCCTCTGCTGCTAGCTCCTGAAGCCATTCCTCTCTCCTGTATCCCGCTTCCATTTTTCTTCCTCCTGCTCAAGATTATAAAACACTCACCCTCTCTCTGATTCTTCTTCCCCTCTGTGAACTTTGAGAGAACTCATGCTTCTGCATCGAGAGAGGTTTTCGCTTAGTTTCTTCTTGGTAAACTGCTCACCCTCGTCCTGGATGTCACGGTCACTGTGGTGAGAAGTTTAGTTTTAAAACAGTCAGCATTTCTTTTCCTTCTCCAATGTCAAGCCCTTTCACAACTATCCTGGCACTTACTGGAAAACCTCACTCATGTAAAGTCATCTTCTTTTTCAACTGGTTCACATACACACTTCTTATTTGCCCAACTCAAAGACACACTTAGAGAGCAGGGCGCTGTCTAGCACAATACTGGACAGGTTGGAGAAAGTCCGTGAGAACAGGTTTTTAATAAAAGCTGCCATCTATTGAGCATCTACTAGGTACGTTAAATGCATTCTTTTGTTCTTTTTCTCTACAGTATGGGTAACAGGCAATATAAACCCTTTGGCTGTATTTTGCTATATGTGTTATTAAATTATAGTTTTCCTCCTCAAGCTATGAATTTTCATATTTAATACATTTAAAAATAGTTTTTCAATAAAGGTAGCGTGAAAACTGAGGCCCAGAGAGACTGAATAACTTCTTCGCGCTTACACAGACTTACTAGGGGCAAGGCCAGCGTGTCTGAGTCCGAAGGCCCTGCTCTTCCCACTGTGTTGGGCTGATTCGAAACAAGAAAGGTTCAAGCAGTGAGAAAAGTGCAGTAAACTTGTGTGGTTTTCTCCCCACCTCTTCGACTCCCCCTATGCCAGCCACCTTCATGAAATCTAGACCTTTTCGTTAGGCTTTGAAATATGAAGATCCAAAGGGGCTTAGTTTTCGTTCTACTTGTCCCCACCGGGCGAGTAATAGGACAGCTGACTTCAAGTCTATGTATAAACTTACTTGATTGTGGCTGTCAGAATGCGGGGCACACGCCATCAGCCAGCCTACCAATATTTACTATGAGCCAGGCATCGAGAATACAGTGGGGAGGCAAAGTTTCAGTCCCTGGGGAGCAGACAGGGAGTACTGACTTCGGGGAAAACAACAGCAAACATATGTATAAATAATTTCAGAAAGTGGTAAGTGCTGTGAGGAAAACAGACCCCAGTAACAGTAGAGAGAGTGACAGGTGTGGAGGTGGTAGAGGCAGTGGGGACGGTGAAGTTGGCCTTGACAATGGAGCCTTGACCTGCATCATGAGAAGCCAGCCCTGCACAGACCTGAGGGAAGAGTTTTAGGTGGAAGAAACAGCAAGGAGGCAGAAATGAGCTTGGTGTGCCTGAGGCACGAAGTCGGGGGCGGGGGTGGTGTTCGGCCTGGAGCAGAGTAAACAAGAAGGAAAGGAGCGTAGCCTGGAGAAGCGGGCAGGGGCCACGGGAGGAGGCTGTGTGTTCCTGTCATTGAATGTGTCCAAGAAGAACTTACAGGACAAGTCCATTTTGGAGAAGTTTGGGTTAGCTAACCTCTAAGGTCCCTGGCAGGTGAGATGCAGGGATGCTACAGTCCCCAGTCAAGTGCACTCCGACACTTTCCACCATGTGTCCCCCCTGCCTCAGCTGTCCTATCCTTCTGCACAGCAGCTGATTAAAAAACAAACAAACAACAATAACAAAAACCACCCAAGTAACTATCAGGGGGTGGCCTGAGAGACGGCTCCAGAGCCCACTTCAAGATGTGCTACTGAGCTAGAGTTTTTCAAACAGTACAACAACAGAAGAGCGCGGGGCTTCCCATCTTCACATGATCCTGTCACCAAAGAACTGCAGCTGGCACGAACTGAACGTCCCCACCTTCCCTCTCTTCCTTTCCCTCCGCAGCAATGTGTAGAGGACTTGGAGTTTGAAAAGAACCACAGAAAAACCGGCCAGTTTACTCCTGGTTCTCAATCCTTTTGTATCAGAGACCCCAAACAGGAAAAGTCAGCTTCACAAGAAGCAACGACGGTTCTGAACAAGTTGTCCTAAATCGGAGAACACTCATCTGGAATTACTTTTAAAAACTCCAACTTAACAGATGACTAACTTCAGCCATAGTTGGCAATGATGCTCCCACACCACACAACAGGAGGGACGGAAGTTAAAATGCAAGTGCCCTGGTGCTGCCAACAGCAATTTAGAGTGAAGCTATTTTCTGAGGACAAGCCAAAGCAAGCAGATGGGGCCACCCATGTCCTGAAGAAAAAGTTGAAAAAGTTGTAGGGTCAGCATGTAGGGTCATGTAGGGTCATTGTAGGGTCAGCATGACTCTACAGGTCTCAAGAGGAGGCCCCGGGCTGGCCAGGACCTACCTTCCTGAGGTCAGAGTCCAACCTTGCCTTCTGGTGACACTATTACTCAAAGAGTTCCATGTCTTCCCATTTCCTAGCTCACCAGTCACCCAGATATTAGCAAGTTCCTCCAACTCAGATTTCTGGCTAAAACTTTGGCCCGTTTCCCTTTATCTTCAGCAGAAAAGACATACCCACCATTTTTTGTTTCTCCCCACTGGATCCTAATTTGTCTGAAAAATGGCTTCAATAAAATATTTAGTTATGAAGACTATCTTTTTTATATATTGCTGGATTTGGTATAGAACTTTTGCATCTATGTTTATGGGTGAGATTTGCATGTATTTTTTTTTTTTAACTATCCTTATCAGGGTTATGACAACCTCATAAAATAATTCTTTAGGCCACAATATGATTCTTTATGTGTTTCCTTGTGGGCTAATCAACATTCGCCAGTGAAGACTTCCAATATCTTGGGTTCTGAGAGCCTGGGATGGCTGAGGACATTCCAATGTAAATGCTCACTTAATCCCCTTCTCGGTACTTTCACCCTCACTTTTGTTTCTGACCTCTAGAACCATAAATTGCTTTTCCTTCTCCGGAGAAGAAATTTCTAATCAGCTGATGAATGAAGCAGTCAACCAGCTGCCCAGGGTAGGGAGGGGATCTAGCAGACACTCAACCCTCTAGTAACCCTCCTTTTACTCTCAATTCCAGAGGTCATGCTCTCTGCTGCTACCATGTCTGAGTTTTTGGGGGGATTATGCAATGTAAATTGGTTTGCTTATCACTGGCTTTCTCCACCACTGGCTCAGGATTCAACTTTTTCAAGCTCCGCTAAATCTTCCATGCCTGCATCTGCTTCCCATCTTCAAATATTGTGTTGTTTCCACTCCTATTTTTCCCAAGCTGTGGACTTACGTTTCCTAAACAAATCCCTTTACTGTTGCTTTTGACAAAGTTAAAAGTGTCTTTGATTTTTCTAATATCTGTAGCATCTATAATAATATCCTCCTTTTAATTTCTTGTGTGTGCTTTTTTTTCTTCCATCAATCTTGACAAAGATTTGTTAATTTCCTTTTTTTAAAAACAAAACAACTTCTGGCTTTGTCGCTCCTATGTTTAATTTCTGCACATATCTTTATTTTGTCCTACTTTCTTTAGGTTTATTTTGCTGTACTAATTTCTTGAAATAGATACTTAGCTCAATTTTAAGTCTTTCTTACATTCTAGTAAACGTTATCTTAATTTTTTTTTTTTTTTTGTCTTTTATCTTTTTCCGTGTCCGGCAATGGATCGCAACCCTCAGTGTTGCCCCCGTACCGGACCGGGGACCGGCAACGGGATTGCAACCCTCGGTGTTGCTCCCACGCCTCGCTCAGCCAGTGAGCGGGAACCGGTCTGTATGTGGGATCCGAACCCTCGGGCGGGAGCGCCACCGCACTTCCCAAGCGGCGCACTTATCCAGTGCGCCACCGGGCCGGCCCGTTATCTTAATATTTTAATGCTGTAAAATTTCTAAGTACTGTTTTGGTTGCATCCTTTGTTTTGATATGTATTATTTTTATTATCGTTCTGGTTAAATTTCCTTTATGAATTCTTCTTGGACCCATGAGTTAATTTCTAAACATATAGGGGTCTTCTAGTTAATCTTTCAATTTGGGTTTCTAATGTAACTACACTGTGGTGTGAGTGTGATCTGCATAACAGGCCTTTGAAATTTGTTGAGATTTGCTCTGTCAGGTATTTTACAAAGCTCCACGTGTGCTCAAAAAGAATGTGCAGTTGTTAGATGCAGTGTTCTATATATGTCCATTATATTAAACTTATTAAATGCTTAAATCTTTTATATACTCACCTATTCACCTGACTTTTTGGTTGTTTGATCTATCAATAACTATGAAGTATGTTAAAATCTCCCATTATGATGTTGGATTACTTATTTTTCCATATATGGTAGTCATCAGTTTTTGTTTTATATATATTGAGGCTATACTATTAGGTATATACTAATTTAGAATCTTTAAATTTTTCTAGAAAATTGAGTAAACATTTCATTTTGTAGTGATTCTACCTCTAGAAATGTTTTTTGTCTTAAAGCCTATTTCTAGAGCCACTGTGTTACACCACTCTAGGGAGGCCATTCACATTACAGTTCATGTGAATAACATACCCTCAAATTAGACAGTCTGTTTCATTATTCAGAGTGGCCCAAATTTTGTGGGTTATTAGTACAGCTTCATCAGATTTATTTTGGTTAGAATCTGCCTGAAACATCTGTTATGCAGTTAGTCAGTCATGAGCAGGTGGGGGGGATGGAAAACTGACTTCACCCATAACTCTGCCCAGATCCACCCCTTTGCGGACAACATAACAAAAAAACAACCCACAATCGAATCACAGGGGTTCATCAGGGACTTTCCAGATGGAGACATGCGCAGAAGGAATAACTTGAGACCTTAAGTAACTTTGGGACACATTAACGCTTATTATCTTTAAATACATATACAATCCATAAATACATATCATTATAAAACATGCGCATTAGATAAAAGATTATATAAACCCCAATGTCGATCAAAGGCGTCAATCAAGCTTACAAATCCATATGCAAAATTAGTGGAATAAAACAGATATGAAGCTGTATGTAAGGGCCATTCACTGCTCGAGAGAATGGCCCACTTCTCTCTTGAAGCGTTCCTTCCTTCCTATATTTCCAATACTGATTAAAGCTTTCCTATGCTGTTAATTTGAGTTTCTAATTCTTCAGACCCAAAAAAAGAACCGAGCCAAAACGGGACCTTCATCCCCCC